ACAAATCAACAAAATAAACAGTCTTATCACAACCCTTGCATTTATCTAAAGTTCCTGTGAATGTTGACATATTTTTTCTCTCAATATCTAGAAATGTGCTGCAGAAAAAATTCAACAACAAAGCATTTGGCCCGCAAATTCGAGAAAAAAAATCCTTTTCTTTTTAGAATTTTCAATTCTTCTGCAATGGAGAGAAGCTTAATCCTATTAAGGGAAGACAGTAGTTTGGAGATCCCGTTATTGTGAGGCAATGGAAGCATGTTAATGCCCTAAAGTACGGATATAATCCACTTAATTTGGAGAAAAAATAGGTTGATTTTTCACTCATTCCATGAAAAATTATGGGACAGTAACTAATATTTTCCATTGCTGTCTTTTGACAGTTATGTTTGTTAGAACTTGTTTCCCTCATCATTTTTAACCAAGGATTTTTTATCCTTTACAAACCAAAAACTAAAAAAAATGATTTAATAAATAGACTATTATTTCGATATTCTTAAAGTAATATGACAATTTTTTATATTTGCACTTAGTAATAAATTGAAAATGTTTTCTGAGTATTCTAATATCAGTAATAGAAATAGGATAATGCCCATAAGGGTAGTAATTTTATTAAATTAGAAATGGGAAAATTTCATAATTCAAACATTAAGTATGCCCCAATTCAGAAAAAACAAGGTTTATTATTTCAAAAGTCAAATATTGATTAAATTTTATTGATGAAATAATTAATTAAAACAATATTTTATTAATTAAATATATTAGTAAAATAATATTATATAATTTATGATCACAATTATGTATTAGTCACAATTATAGACGTCACAGTCACAAATTACAAATTTTATAGGTCACAATTTATTTTTCATTCACAAATTTATCAAACTAATAGGTTACATAGTATTCGTTGGTCACAAGATATTAAATTAATTGGTCATAAATTATTTCTAGATCACAAATTAACAAATTTTAATGTTCACATTATTTATTGATCACAATCAATCAAATAATTTGTGAGCACTGCCTCCAACAACATCGTCGCCAGTACCACCACCAACACCTCACGACAACTTGAAGCAACACTACCATCTCCACCATCTCAAAAAAACAACACCTACCACCAAAAATCATCACTACTTAACCACGACCACGTCAGAGACAACGATAATCATCCCAAAATAGTCGCAATAGTAACGAAAATGACAAGCACCGCACGATGACGATGACAACGTGCAGATAAAAAAACCATAGACATTGCCACTACAATGACGACAATGACAACCACCACCACAACCAAAAACCACCACAATGGAAGTAGATCGAAAACCCACACCCAACGCCACAACATCACCAACCCATGACTTGGGTTGCAACACTACCGTCAACGCCATCATCTGGACCACCATGATCTCCACAACCACCAAGTACACCACAAACGCTATCACCACCACCATCTACATAACCATTGCAGTGCACAGTAAGGCATACTACAGCAAGGTACTACGCGCAGCGGTGCAGTAAAGCGCTGCGTGCGTGCCGCATAATCGGATTATAAAGGGGTGACAACGCCATGAGTGATGGGGTTGGTAAAGTGAAGAGAAAATTAAGAGATGGAGAAGAGAGTTTTTAGGGTTTGGGAAGAAATTTAGGTTGGGTTGGGTTGGGTTGAGGTGGGATAGATTAATTTTATAATATTATTAATAATATTTAAAATTTCAATTATCTGATTTTTGAAAAGATAAAAAAAAAACTTGTAAATTTTAATTTTGAATTGAAAAGTTTAAAACTCTGGTTACATGTAATTTCCACATTAGAAAATTGTATTTGAGTCGTATTATAGATAAACATATTTAAATATCTGTCAAATTAATTAACTTTAACGATCCATAATTTACTAGGATCTTACATTATTATATCTACTCGAAAAATTGTTTTCTATTAATGCATAGTATGTTCCAATCTTTAACACACCATTTGTAGAAATATATTATTAATTGTGGCTTTGAAACAATTCAACGTAGAATAGGTTTTGGAACTCTCTCTCTCTTTTTTAAAACTCATTTAATTTCCAATCACACATTCTTCCAATAAATAAATTTGCACGTGGATCCATAACTTTATTCTACTTGTGAGTCTAATTCCACATACAATTGAACAAATCAAACAATTAGGTTACGGAATTAACAAATAAAAGGAAATTAAACTAAGAAATCAAATCAAGAATGATAAGAACAATGAATTCCCCCCTTTTTTAGGCTCAGAAAATCTGATCCAACACTATAAAAGCAGCACCAAATCCCAAAAAATACAAAGGGCACACCAAGGAACGAAGGGCAGAAGCTGATTTTGAGGATTTGCACAAAGCAGAAAGGTTTTAGCACAAAGTAGGATGAATGTTCTAAGCATAGAGCAGAGAACCGGTTGTTGCTTCTTCTTAAGCACAAAGCTAAACAATTTTTGGTGTATTTAATTGAAACCGAGAGGCTTCAATTTATAGGCAGAGAGTTCAACAAATTTCCTAAGATTTTCTCTCAAAGATAGATATCACGAGAACTGAAAATGGTTACTAAAAGATAATGAGAGTTTTACAATTTTGAAAGAAGGAAGAGATAAACCCTTATCACTTTATTTCTAATAAGTTGGCTATTGAGCATCTAGCCCAGTGGGCTGATTTCGTCTAAATACCCAACAAGATTTGGGC